ATACAGTACAAATGACAAACCATTCTGTTATCTACTGTCCAGCATTTTTTATTCTCATTTGGCTGTTGGGCAGAATGTAATTCCATATTCCCCTAGAAAACCTAGTAAATGGAGTAACTTTTTATATACACTCAATACTTGTTAGGAAATCCTTTAAGAACCATCTCTTGTTAAGGTGTGTTTGTTTGGACTGTATGAGTGATTTGAGACTCCACCTCACAAACTCAGCCTAAAGAGACCAAAGCAATCAAATAACTACTTGCTATGTATTTCTGTGATACTTTGAGTGAGAGAAATATGTTGTTTGGATGCTGTAGTAGGGTGGACTCACCTCCACTGACTTTCTAGTTTACAATTGTAGGCCACCTCCTGGTAAAATACCTCAATTTATTTTAGTGTTCTTTGTGGGCACTTTCACAGCCTATGCAGCCTCTTTTCAGCAGTAACATGGCAAGAGGCCTCATATGGTTCTGGCTTCATAAGCATGCCTCGCTCCTTTCCTCTCTTTCATATTTACTTGCAGTGCCTTTTGTTCCAGATGGGCTAATGAATTAAGGAGTGGCTTAGGTCCCTCCAGCAGCCCATTCCTGTCTTATAATTGGAGCCATTCCTGTAGTCAGGTGTGCTCTGGGGTAACTAATTGGCTCAGATTGTCCAGTACTCCGTTATAGCTTCTGTATTTGTGACCCACCACAATAATATCACTGGACATCATAACCCAAGTGAAAAAAGGAATGTTCCCAAAGTGAGTAAACAATTACAAAAGCAGGCAATCTTTTTACCTGTTCAGATTCTGCTGAAGGATTGTAAAATTCCAGGAGCAAATTGACAAAAGCATAAAGTGACACTAGTCCGTCAATGTTTACAGACACTAAACATTGGAACCTCCTAAGCACAAAACAGTCTTTAAATTTCATAACTTGGAAGTAACACATTTCCTTCTCTTCAGCAGCAAATGCAGTGTTACAAAAAAGATGAAAAGAATGCATCTGCACAGGAATGTATTATGCCTTTTGAGGAGTTTGCGAGTGCTTTCTGATCACTAAAGATCTTCCTGTTATCATGACAAGTATATATTTTATAGCTGGTCAAGAGCTTAGCAATGAACTTCCTTTAAAAATGTAGGTGAACTTCTACTTGTGGTGTAAACGGACAGAGGAAATAATGACAGTTTGAGCCCGTTTCACACCCATCATGTCCCATCATGTTACTCTAGTTTAACTCTCTGTCCATAAATAACAATCAGCCAAAAAAAAACCTAGTTCTGTCTTTGCTATAGTACTGCATCACTTCAAGGTTAAGTACTGCAGCCAGTGTTCCCTCTAATCTTTTCCATACATACACGGAATAATTTTTATGTGCACCGAGGCATGTAATGTGCACCACCAATAGAAACTAAAAACCTAGCTGTGGGAGCTCTATTAATCAGCTGGGCAGCATTCAAATCTCTCCTGAGTAGCTGCACAAGCACACAGCTTACAGGGAACACTGATTTGCAGTTTAGAGTTTTGAGTACAATTTTGTTCCCAAAGCTTTTTTTATTGTGTCCAAATTGCTGAAGTATACCAATAAAATGTTTCCATCCGCAGAACTCATTCTGGGGCATCTATTGTGTAATTCTCAGCACAGTTCTTACAGCAGGTGTACAGGTAGGGAAGGCACCCACCTGGCAACATATTGTGTATATTATGGGGGAGTTGGTACTAACACTCTTTGCATCAGAAAATATACTTGTAAAATATACTTGTAACATGTCAGTGCTTGTAGCTGACTTAAGGAATTTGACAATTAGAAAGTACCGTGGCAAGAGAAGTGCCTATAAAATTCTGTTGAGGTTTGGCTTAGATGTAAATGTTTGAAAATCGCTATTTCCTGCCTGTTCAATTGGCTGATAATACAAGGTACATTTGAATAAAAGGCTGGGCCAGCTATGACCATTACAGCAGTGCTGCAAACCCTGGGGACCAAACAGCCTTTCTAGGAAGGGTTGAGAAGGATGCCCTGGCTCTTTCACGCAAATAACCCCTTTTCGCTCAGCACTTTAGACAACCCTGTTGAACCCTAACCTGCTCTATGGGCACCACCTGGAAAAGGAGCTCTTTCTACCCCTTTAGGGGAAAAAGAAAGAAACAGCCCTGCTTTTCTGACCACACACACACACCCTAGATGCAGCATATGGCCCCAGCAGACTATTTCTCCATTTGGATAGTAGTCTTTTCCTACTGTCAGCAAATGTACTTAGCTCTATTCACCTAACTATACTGAAAGTTCAGAACTTAAATGCTAGTGGTGATACATGATGGAGTGGTTGCCATAGCAGAATCTGTTTTTACTGTTTTTCTGTTTTAAAACACTAAAGAATTACATGTTATTGAAGTTGCCAAGTCAAGAATTTTGAAAGTTAGAAATCCCAGATTTCTAAAAAAACTAAAAATGCTGTACACAATATTTTAAAATTCTGCATATTTATCTGTCAAAATAACACAATATACTCGTATCGGTTTAAATTATTGTGTTACTGTATTAAAACTACAATAAAGTACATGAAGAATAGGAGTGATAGCATTGGAGGAAATCCTTAAGCCCCCTTCCTTAAAAGTAAAGTAGCAAGCTTTGACCATTTATTTCTAGTTATTAGTCAACAAATATACACTGCCATATATTTAGCGTTACATCATAGGCAATGGAAGAGCAAGTGAAGGCTGAGGAATCAAACTCATAATTTCTATTGATTACTGACCATCTCCAGAAAGGCCAGCTGCAAACAGTTCATGGAGCACATTTTGGGTATGTCTATGCTGCAATGCTATTTCGAGATACTGGAGTATCCTGAAATAGCTATCCCTCACCTTCACAGAAAGCCCGTTATTTTGGGCTTGTCATTCCAATGTCCCTTTAAACCTCATTCTACAAGGAGTAAGGGACATTTTGTAATAGCACTTTATTTCAAAATTTGGCGCTGTGTAGACAGTGCCAAATGACGAAATAAGCTATTTCAAAATAGCATCGAAATAAGATTAGCAATTTGCATAGCTCAAATTGTGTATCTTATTTTGGATTATGGTGCTGTGTAGATGAACCCTTTGATAGGACTTTTTTTTAGTTCTACAATTTAGACCAGTTTTAATCACTGAAGGACCATAAACATTTATCAGGCCATACTGTCCTTCACACCACTCTGGCAAAGGAGCTATAAAACTTTTACTCCCATTTTATACTCCTGAGGGGAATTCACAAAGTCAATGGGAACAATTCACTAAGCTGGCAGACTGTTACATTCTGCTCTGCCTGCGGGGACAGAGTCTGCCCCATGCATATCCCTTCAGAAACACCCCAAAGTCCTGCACCTTCATATTTAGCATACCACAATAGCGCACGAGAGGGACAGGGTTTCTCTCTCACTCATGACTCTCTGCCTCCCTCCCCTCTCCAGCAATGGTTTACAATTCTACAGATTGCTCTGGGTTGCCAGGGAAGGACACATGACTGGTCTTGCAGCTTCCCTTTGTTTCCCCATCAGAAGTCATTTTTCTGTAGGGTAGCAAAGAAATCTGCAGGAGGCATGATTTCTGCACGTATGCATTGATGCTAAATTCTCCAAGGGGCAGTGAATATTCCCTAAAGCCCTCATGGATCAGACAATGAAAGGCACCAGCAAATCTCCTAAGCACCCCCACAGATTTCCCAAGAACTTTGAACCAAAACACACAGTTTTAGGTAAAATAGAAAATGGATATATTGACTGCAAACAGATTTTTGAATTCTGATTTGTGTTAGGTACAAAGGTTAAATATTATTGCCAAAGAATATAAAAGTGCATAGTTTAAATCTTAAACCTTGTTACACTAGGCAGCATTTGTTCAAGAAATTTTTAACATCCCACTGCATGTTGCAGGTAGGTTACAGTTCTTAAATATACAGGCTTCCCCCATAAGCCCGGGACCAGTCTCCTCACTTAAAATCATTGTCTTCCCAGCCTTGTTGTTGCTTAAAGCTTAGGCGGGGGAGGAGAAAGGTAAAGTTAGGATACCACTGACCCCTATCTTCAGTCCCTGTGCCTGAAAAACACTAGCTCAGACATGTTCTGTGGGGCTTTACTGAGTCTTGGAGTAGAAGAATCCCCCATTGTGTTATGCTTGTGCCCTATTAAAATCACTTGTTTGCAATTCCCATGCTCACTAATGGTCATTTGGCATCCTCTTGGGGTGGACCACCAGTCTTGTTGTCAATGGGGAACCAGCCGTAGGGACTCTCAAACTTGCAACATATTTCAACAACAATCATTTAGCAAAATCTCTCAACTTCATACACACTAACAATATATGCATCTGGGAGAACAATGAGTTACAGCAAATAATGACTTTTCATATATCTTACATGACATGTTTTCTATAAAATATATTATAATTTTAGGGCCCCAATCCTGAATGCAGCCTGATGTGAGCCAGTAATTTCAGCTCCAAGCAGCAGCACATTAGGCTTTATTTTGTCCAGAATTTTTTAGAATTGGCATTTTAGTCTGTACCCACAAGTAAAATAGCGAGAGATCTAAATAGCATTAGTTGGGCTTGTGGTTATTTGTAAAAATAAAATTGTGCCTGGAATTGCAAAATTAAAGATAAAAAATTGGAAGGTAGGGTAAAGCTGCTTTTCAAATCAAACCCTTTCTGACCAAGTCTTTTATGGCAAATGATATTATTTACTTCTTAATGAGCCTAGTCCCAATAATGTGCAGTGTTTATTATTATTATTATTATTATTATTTATATGCTATTTTAGAAGTAGTACTTTCCCCTGTGTGGGTTTCTTTTTTAATACAACTACTCAGCCTATGGTGGTGGATGATCTTTATTTTAAGCAGTAAATAAAACATGTTTAAAAAAACTATCATTTCCTGTTTCAACAAAGAATGAAAGGGAGAAGGGAATTGCACTAACTTCCTGAATGACAGCATTCCAGTTGTGGGGATTGGCTCTGGAAGATCTGCCAATCAGAAGTGGGCTCTGGAGAGAAGCTCTGCTGCTGTTGTTTACATGTTCTTTGACTCTCTCCGCTGTTGCTGGCACATTCACTTTCATGTTGTACCAACTTGGGATGTCCTGTCAGTATATTGGTGTTACATGGCTGCATAAATGGCAGGGAAACTGGGATCCCAGCAACAAATGGCAAGTAGTAGATTAAGTGGAAACTTCTGTCTGTTCCTGAGTAGCTACAGGTAAGGCAGTTACCTGGAAATTTTAAGGATGGAATGAGCAAACCTTTCTTTGTGTGTATGAGCAACTACTTTTGTGGCTGTTTTGAGACAGTACATTTGAATTCTGCTTAGCTAACTGAGCAGGGTGTGGTGTGATGAAATGGAGAAAAGTACAGCAGAGATCTAAGAGATTATGTGCTGCATGGCTGTGAGAATCATCTGAGCACCTGTAAACTGAACAGGAGTTGGATGTGGAAATAGATGTCATGTTATCAGCTCTGCTGATAAATAGCAGCAAGATGGAATTAAATGCAAAATTGGAGAGGGAAACACTTTCCCAATGTGCCTTTGTTACACAGGATTGTTGACACAAATATATTCTGTTTGTCTGTGTTCTATCTGAGAACAAATTGTTGCTCAAATGCAAGATTTTAATTCTCAAAATACATTCCACAAGTGTCACATGATCAGGAGGATCTTCATTGTATCTGTATTTCCTAGGGTTAAATGGGCTTTTTAGTAATCCAAGTATTTATTGACACAAAAAGGAGCTTTGATCCTAAAGGGTGCATGTAGCAAGTAAGAGACAAAATAACTGATCCGTGGGGATATAATCAGTAAGATCGTGCTTCTAATTGTAAATTGGATCCCTTATGATAAATAAATGGAGAAAGCTCTCACTTTGGAATATGTATATCTCAGTCTATAATTCTCATTTACTTTTCTTTCAAGGAGTTGACAATGTGGCCTTTGAAACTCAAATATATTTGTTACACTAACTACCTATAATAAGTGAGCTTATTAAATTTTTACTAGATAAAATACTTGTCATGCTTGAATGATACATGCTTGAATGATACATACTTTAGGGAGGGTATCTCTATTTGTTTTTAATGTAGTATATTCATTTTTTTGTATCTAAGAATATTTGAAAAGTCAAATAAGTAAAAATTCATATTTTAAAAATGCACGTGGTCCTATATAAGGAACAAATATATATTTGCACATTTTACTATGATTTAGCTAAGTTCCTGATTGAGCAGCAAATTTCAGTAGTGTATTAGGTGAAATTTCATTAGTCATCAGTAAACTCCTTCCTCTAATACTCTTGTGAATAAACAAAGCCATCACTGAGGACATGAAAGAACTCCACAACTAAATCAGCAAAGAAGGCAAAGAGTTAATGATAGTGCAGCACTGAATTCAGTGTATTTGCAGATGTTGAAGCAACAGACTGCTGATTTTTTCCCCCTCCATCCTGTCAGGGAACTCTGCCAGCTATGAATCATGGAATGATTTTTTTGCACTGAGTAATCTGTGGTTCCCTCCCCCCTTGCTTTTCTTCCTTAAAGTCCTTTTCATTTTAGCAAAGCGTTTGATAAACAACAAAGAAAAGCATGCAAAAGGCTATGTTTTGAGGAGGGAAACCTAGCAAACATTAAATTTCCAGTTATTTCTCTGTGGCAAACCAATTAAATTTAGACAAACACTCCTGAAAAAGAAAGAGTCCATCTTCTGTTTTTGAATAGTCCCTTTATAAAGTCTAATTGCATAATGTAACAGTTGTTTCGGATTTTTGTACAAGTGTTGCTAAAGAACATTAACATTTTTGTGCTGATAATATGTTTCCTATCTTCACAGATCGCTCTGAAAGAAATAAACCAGACTACCGTTCCTCTGGGTAAGAACTCTATTCCTGTATTTATTTCTCAAATTGCCACCCGCTTTTTTCCCCCCCTTTGATCGTGTAGATTAGGGAAATTAGCCAACCTACTCATTTGGTAATAGTAAAACAGCATGAAAATTCACTTTGGATTAAAACTGCTATTTTATTGTCCTAATGAGCTAAAATCTTAATCGATTTAACAGGTTTTGTCCATTGACTTTTGTACTTCAAACACAAAATTTCTGAAGACTTGTTTGTGAAATACATACTGGATTAGTTTGATAAAACTATGACTTAAAAAACAACAGGCCAACATCTAATCTTGATTTTTTAAATTGCCATTGTTGGCAAATCCTTCACAAATTCTTGGTTAATTATTCCACAGGTTAACTACCCTAACAGTTAAATTCAGGCTGGAATTTTCTCTTTGTTAATTGAAATAGATTGAGTTCCTTATGTCTGTCATTATAAGGCATGTTTTCTAATCCTTTAATCATTCTTGTGGCTCTTCTCTGAATGGTCTACAACAATGGTCTCCAATCTTATTAAGCACAAGATCACTTTTTGAATGTAAGTGCAATCCAGGATCTACCTCAAACCCAAATATCCTTGCCCCATCTCCTTCCCCACTGAGGACCCAACTTACTTACTCCATCTTCCCTCCCTCCCCCATCCTCACTTGTGCCAGGATGTGGCAGGGAGTTGGGGTACGGGGCTGAGGGTGGGGGCTGGCTCTGGTCTTCAGCCAAGGTGTTCAGAGTGCGAGAGGGGCTCTGGGTTGAACCTGGGATAGGGGGTTGGGCAGGGGCAGATGAGAGTGCCGTGGGGCCGAGGGCAGCAAAATTTCGTGGGGCCCACCCTTTGACACACAGCGCATGTGCCGTGGCACCACGGCGCATGTGCGGGGCCTCGGGAGGCGTGGGGCCCGGGGCAGCCACCCCACTCGCCCTGCCCTAAATCCACCACTGAGGTTGGGGCTGGGACAAGGCTTCAGGATGCAGGCTCCACTGGGCACCGCTAAACTCAGTTGGCTCCCGGGTGATAGCACAGTGAGGTTAAGGCAGGCTCTCTTCCATCCTGGCCATGTGCCAGTTAGGGTTGCCAGGTGTCCGCTTTTGAACTGGACAGTTCAGTATTTGAGCTTTCTGTTCGGGAAACAAATTGAGAAAATATGAATGTCCGGTATTTTCTAAATAAGATGTAATGTAGGTTGTGACGTAATATCAAGTGTGTCCGGTATTTTTGTTGAAACCATCTGGCAACCCTAGCGCCATTCCCAAAAGCATCCAGCATGTCCAGCAGTGGCTTTTCCCAGGGGGCATCCGGGAATTGGGTGGGTGGCTTCATGTGCTGCCCTCTCCATAGGCACTGCCCCCCACACCTCCCATTGGCCATGATTCCTTGTTCCCAGCCAATGGAAGCAGCAGAGGTGGTGCATACCGGCAAGGGTAGCATGTGGAGACTTCCTGCTCTGCTTCCTCCAGAGATCTCAGGGACATGACAACCATTTGTGCAAGCAGTGCAGGCCCAAGGCAGTGGGGAGTCTCCCTTTGCCCCATTGTGCTGCTGGACTGTTAGCATACGATCTCCCTGTTTGGCTACAGGAGTCTCCAGGAGATGGCCAATGTTTTTGGCCAGTGTACTGCACTTGGATGGAAAAAAATGAGAGGCAATGAACTTAGTTATATGCACCAATATCAAGGTAATGGGCAGATGTGCATCACCAGCAGAAACCAAAAACCTAGATATACTATATATTTAAAAAAAATTAGCATAGGGATAATTGCTTCAGCCACGATAGGTTAGGCATTTTAGAACTCACTCCTCAAAGAATTAAATGTAAGAAAAATAAAAAAATATGAAATGCACAGACCAGTCAAAGTATATAACACATTTTGAAAGAAGTAACAACAGTACAAGAGTGTGTTGGGTTGGGAGGTGAGTGTAAAAGACAGTGTTTGTGTGACAGTGACAGAGATTTGCATTGTCCCTTTAAGTATGCTGAGCACATTCAGACATAGGAGCAGCTGCTAGCAGGCTCCCTTCATCCCAAGCCCTGTCATGCCTCTCCTACCCTGCAAAGCAAACCGATGGTTCCTGGGAGGAGATGGGGGGGAGGAGAGGGACAGAGCAGCTCCAAAGCAGGGGAAAAACGGGTAACGGAAGGGTAGCTGAAGTGCTGGCACTTGATAGCCACCTGGCCAAAGCAGTCAGGATCACCCATCAGAGGCTCTAGGATCTGCCAGTAGATCCCAATAAAATTGTAGAACCAGTGGTCCACAATTTATCAACCTTGTCTTTTATATCAACAACTCATCAAACATCTCCCATGGATTTGGAATTCCTGTTAGTGTTAGGTGGGGTTACTGTTTTGTTATGGAGGTCATGACCACAGAAATTGTTGTTTTTGAATTGGGTCCTTCTGTGCAGGAGCAGATGGGCCAAACTGGAATGGTATTATGAGCCTGTGCCCTAGGTCACAATGCCAATCAAATTTGGCCTTTCTGAGCCTTTGTTTCCATCTTTGAAAGGATGGACATGCCGAATCTGAGCTGTGCGGCAGCCTTATACAGTAGGATGCAATGTCCAGAGTGGGGAGCTAGGCCCAGCCCTGAAGATCTGCCACGGGGGAGTGAATCCCGAGTTGGCTCCCTCTACAATTGCACTGCATAGGCATCACCTTTCAGCACCTTCCATTTCAGGATCTGTCTTTCCATTATTTTTTTTCACTTGCATCTCTGCTGAGAAATTTATTAAGAAGTTCTATGCCCTACTCGTAGTCTGAGTGTTAGGCCACAGACTTTTTCATGATTAGATTCTGATAAAACCCTTTAAAGTCTGATGCCTCTTAAGTTTATCTGAATCTTCTGTGGTCACCATTTTCTTCTTTTCCCCTGTCCATTTTCCATTGCTATTTTTTCCTCAGCTCTATTTTTTAATTTCTTCCTATCACCTTATCTCCCTCTCCTGAACTCTCTGTGGCTACCAGAGAGTAAATGGAAGAGTTGAGAATAATGACACTTGAAAGAAAGATAAACACTTCCAAGGTTGTCAGCTACAACTACTGTCTTGTGTTTCTTTCCTTCAGTTCTATTCAAGACCCTGTCCCATCTGGTTTCTGTTCCCCCGTGCTCCAGTAACACAGTTCTTCCTTCAGTCTCTGGTGACCTCTGAGAAATGTTGGGCAAGTTGTCCAATTGATTGCTAAGGCCAGGATTTACTCCTGGGGTATGTCTAGACTACATGCCTCTGCCGACAGAGGCATGTAAAATAGGCTACCTGACATAGTCAATGAAGCGGAGATTTAAATATCCCAGGCTTCATTAAAATAAAAATGGCCGGCTCAGCTGATCGTCGGCATAGCGCGCGAGTCAAGACATGGATCGGTCGACAGGGGAAGCCTTTGTTGACCGCTCCCTTGTGCCTCGTGAAATGAGGCTTCCCCTGTCGACCGATCCGCGTCTTGACTTGCGTGCTGTGCCGACAATCAGCTGAGCCGGCACAGCAAGGCGGCCATTTTTATTTTAATGAAGCCTGGGATATTTAAATCCCCTCTTCATTGACTATGTCGGGTAGCCTATTTTACATGCGTCTGTCAGCAGAGGCATGTAGTCTAGACATACCCCTAATGTGTGGTCATGACACTGAACAATTTGTCCCATTGACTGCAAAGTTTTAGACAGCACCGTGCACTGAAGTCACTTGTTCCACAGCTTTTTTTCAAACATGACAAATAGAGCTTGCTGAAAATTTTCTGACAGGATAGTTTTCCATCATGGAACCAAAATGTTTTGCTGGAAGCAGGCTGGCTGACTAGCTTGCCTGCCTGCATTGCTGGTTTCCTGTTGGCCCACCTGCCAGCCAAGTAAGCTGTCAAGAAATCAGACACACTGACTGTCCTGCCTGCTGCCTGGCTATGTGCCTGGTTGGCAAGAGAACAGGCTGCCCAGATTGCTATGGGCATTAAACCAGGCATATTAGACAGCTTTCCAGCTTCCCTGCTTCACAGCTGTATGCAGAGGCAATCCATGCCTGTGGAGGAAAGGGGACAGAGTGAGGACACTCAGCTTCCGCAATTAAAATCTAAGGGACACATGATTCCGCATGCCTCCCTGCCCAACACACACGTGTGTCACCCATGCTAATATGTGTGGCTTAAAAAATGTCAAAACAAAATGTTTCTTTTTTTTCCTCTCAAATGAAATTTTGGAATTCCAGTACTGAAGGATATTTTGAAGTTTGCCTTGTCTTATTCCAATTGGGAAGGACGAAAAAATTGGAATGTTTGAATTTTAAACTGAGTGGAAATTCTGAATGACTAGCCATAATAAGAACAAAGAATGGCCATGCTGTCTCAGATCAGCTCATCCTGTCTTCTGACAGTGGCCAGTGCCAGGTGCTTCAGAAGGAATAGGCAGAGCAAGATCCATCCAAGATATAATGTTGATTAAACTGGCCCTCATTTGATGAGTAACAGCTTCAGAATGTTCCCCTGCAAAGGGTAACTCCAAGGAACCTGGGAAGTGGTCAACTAGCCCTCAAAGAGCCAGGAGAGAAATTGGAGGAGAAAGCTGCCCCCTCACTAAAGATAGCCTTGCTAGGATGAAATGGGGTACCCCAGCACCAATGGTTTTACTGATTTATTTTTCTGATCTGTTTCCTAAATATCATATCCTAGTACTTATTCTGAATCCGGAGAATGAGCAGTTTGCCAGTTGCTACAGGAAATCATTCTCCTGTGACAACTTTCCACTCCATTGAAATTATTTTTATTATATTCCCCTAAATGTTGAACTTGAGGAAATATTGAAACAGATGTCTTTTATACTGGTAATGATTATCTGTAATTATTGTAGTATTTTGAGAGTAAAGGGTGAGTTTGTCACTTTGGTAATTCAGTTGAATTTGATGAAATTTTACCTGATATGCCACTGTAATCAATATCAGATTTAGGCAAAAAGGGAGTTTGTTTCTATGTTTACTGTCTATATTATTCTTGTTTTGAAAATGTAAAG